TTCGAATATTGGTTGCGTCTTCTGTGGGTCCGAACTAACTGATTCTCGGAAGCGGACCAAATTTACTGGAAAAGTTTCTGATTTACCAGACAGAATTTCCAGCGTATTGAATGTTCCTCTGTCAAATATAAACGTGGACGGTTACATCTGTAACGAACGCAGTATCGCCTTGAAAAGATGCTTGAAGATGCAAAATCTGTCCAACAACAATCATTAAAAGAAAAGTTCACAACAAACAATCGAACAAAACGTTGTGTTCGTTCGGATTCTAGAATTTCGCCTAATGTCTCCGCACTGTCGAAATCGCTTCGCCATCCGATGGATCAAGGAAGGACTTTCTGTTTTGATGTGATAATTTCTGCGACAATCTTTGCCAGACGAAAATCTGCAGGCGGTAACATGATTGGCTTAAACCAACAAAGGAAATCGCACGCGTCCAGCCGCTCTTTCGGGGGGATGAGTGTGGGCTCATTTTCCCGAACAGCGGCTGGTAATCGAGCCTAGACCCAGCGTGTACAGGTTAAAAATAATTTTTTCTTTGTACATCGTACTTATTGCGCTAAAAATGCTGGTAAAGTTCTACCTTTTCAGCTTTTATCACTTTAGCTTAATATAGTGAAAGAAACCTTTGTGACAAGTACAATGAACCTAACTTGATATTCCACTGACAAGAGAGTACAATTACCCAAATTGTTTCATATTAATTACTAAAGTAACTTTTTAAAAGTGGTTACATTTTCCATTGTTTTGCAGGGTTTTTTTCCTTTATAATATTTCATTAAGTATGGTGTACCACGGTTTGAAAGAGTAGAAATTGAACTGCCACAAATAACGATGAAAGTATTCTTGTTTGTCAATTATTTCTTTACCCCATATAAAATAAGGTTTCAAATTTGAACAATGGGAACATCATGACTTGCTGAAGAAGAAATCACATGCTGTTGAAAGACTTGCCATCATTTCCTATCACAGCTGTAATTGCTTCTGTAAATGCTACACTTGTTGGAAAACTGGTAGGGAGATGCAGCTCCAGCAGGCATGTAGATGGAAAGATACATCCATCCGTTGGATCAACGGTTACTGAAATTTCTCCAGTAGGTAGAGACCTTGAGCCAGTAACAAAACGAATTAGTTGATGCAAGTCTGTTGAAATAAAGTCAGCTTTTATTAACTGCAGTTGGTTGGGTTGGGGAAAATATAACACTCACCATAAAGAAATGCTGCGTTATTAATTTTGGTAAATGTGTGCCACTCTATAAGCAAAAATTGAGTTTGACCTTCCATAAGTGATCACCTAAAAAGCCAAGATTTGATGGTGGTTTAAAAGAGTTGATCCACAGGGGGTTCTCGTCTAGGATCAGGTCTGGTACGTACCAATGTAAAGAGAATTCAGTGACAATAAGACACTGTACATATTGGTAACTTAGTAATCACTACTAAGTTACCAATATGTGCAGTGCCTTATTGTCACTATAAATGAGTAGCTAAGCTTTCACACTATACAACCTACCCTTGTTCAGCTTACAGCACACAGACAAATCAGACAATTGGGTCAAGTGGTTTCTTACAAGAGGTTTTAAGACAACGAATGGAAAACTATAAAACCATCAATTCTTGTCACCCCATAAAGTGGTTGTGGTTGCTTTCAAGAGGTGGTCACTTACAAGGGTGTACTATCCCCTTACAAGAGGTTCTAACTTTAGGACTTTGACTGGTAAAATTGTGTTGTTTTGGATGGGTAATTGCATATGGGAGGTGATTACAAACGAAATTTCAACTATATCACTAAATGTCAGTCCCAAATAAATGGTGCACCATGGTGCTCTCAAAGAAGTGTTACACAAACAAGTTGAGAATTTTAACAAGTGCAGTGCTTCTTTTCCATTTGAATATGGTAATATCATCCAGAAATGTGGACTGTGACATTTTCACTGTGTGTTAGCAAGGATTCATAGGGTACTCTTTTAATTAGAAATTCAGCCATGAAAAACCATCAATCATTGATGATAATTATTATTTTGTGGCATGATGTTGTGCAGCTAGCCAATCAACTAACCAGTTAGTGATCACAATGTACACCCAATGCAAGAAACCATTGAGTATTATAGTACACTGTTGGTCAACTGGGTTGAAAGTCTAAGTGCGAGTGGCATGCACTTTGTAAAATAATGCTACAAGTACGTTAAAGACCTTAAATTCAAACAGCAAGCTATTTGGCCAGGCACCATGAATTTCAAGACACATATCAAGGCTTCTATACTGTGTTGGCCATAGTTTCCTAAGATAAGCTCAAAACATGCCTTATTCATTAAGGTTTTTTCACATCATATGGGGTTTATGTGTTCACTGAGTAATATTTTTTGGCTCCTGACCACAATAATCAAGAACCATTATTATCACATGAAATGCAATGCCCAAGACTGTGGAACAAAATTAAATTTTACTCAAATACCCTACATCTACTCCGGGACCCTTTTCCATTGGCCTGAACATTAGCAGGTCCACATTAATAAGAAAGTACTTAGGTGATAAATGACTTTCAGTATAACTCATGAGACTACATTATTTCCTCACCTTCTTTTGAACATGTTTCCAAGAAATGGAATAGATGCTGCTTTGTTTCTCTTTCTTCATCAGACATACTTTGTGGAAAGGAAAGAGATGCCTTCACTGCCTCAGCATTTAATTTCTCTGAACCACCAACAAACAGAACAAAGAGCAGGGACCTTGTGACAACCTCATTTACTACACTTAAAGTTTCAAGTCCTGTTCTCAAGTGGTCTAGAAGGACTTGTCGTTTGCTTAATATGGTGTGGAGCATCAGCGACTCCACCATTAGTTGACTGTTCCTCACCTGCAATAATTCCAGATGATATTGGTATTAGGTTATTTTTAACATTCGAGAATGCCCTGTAAAATTAATTACCTTAGTAATAATAACAAGGAACACAATGTACTGTACCGTAGGGAGGGTGCTGTTGCCAGCATCTGAAAGCAGTCTCATTGATGTTGAATCACTGCTCAACACAGCCAGCTCTTCATCCTTTGTAGCAATTAACAGCTGAAAATTATACAAAATTTACTCAGAAAACCTTTGCTTTATAACGTATGTAGCCAAAAGAGGTAAAGTTAACCTTAAAATGTATCTTCAAAGCTTTGTTCTCAGAACAATGGGAAAAGTCCACTGTACTCTGACCCAATGAACACAGGACCTACACTATAAAGACCTTTAGAAAAAATTGAATTCTAGCTCAGCAGCTTTCAAGTTTTTCTTTCTCAAGGCAGTGAGTTGCCTGATTACGTTTTTTTTGTTGTTTTCAAGTGAGCATGAACAGTTGCTTGCCCAGCAGGAAACTCTGCTTGTCCCAGCTGACCAGAAGGGATTTTTTTTTAACCCTCCTATTTTCTACTATTGTGTTTGTATGCAAAGATGCAAAGTTAAAGTCATGTATCAAGTCATTTTTAAATTGGCCAATAAAAGTGGTAGTTGACGTTTTAAGTTATATCTACTTTTTTGAAACAATGAGTGCTTCTAGTCGAGCCTTACCTTTCTGATTAGGTCTGCATAATCAATGTCCCTAACATCAGTGATGTTGGCATAACTGATTGCCTAGTTAACATCATCAGTCACTAGGTACCAGTAGCAAACTAAGGAAAGAAAAGGAAATCCTACACCGCACTGCACTATGGAGTAAGCAATCATCTTCCCAATAACTTTCATAACTCCTGAACATACAGTACTTATACTGTATGGTGGCAGGAGCCGTCCCTCTTCCCCCTCAAACAAATTAGCTGCAAGTCCTTGAGTTGAATATGCAAATTCCTGGAAAAGCCGGGTGAAGAATTCACGCCTTGGCCCCCCTGAGTCAACAGCTGGTTGGCCAATAAAATTAACTCTCACAGGACAGAAGGCTTCAAATGCATCTGCAATGATGTCACTCTCATCGACTGTAATTTTTAGTATTGGTCCGCTTAGTTTACTTTTCATTCTTGAAAGTATGTTGGCCAAACTTGTTTCTGTAAAGAAAAATAAGAAAGTTCTCAATTTAGGAAAATGTTATTTACACCTTGTGAAAATTAAGTGCACAAAGTAAAGGAAAAACAAGTGACAAACAAGCCATTTAGAATCAATTACAAATTGATGACAGTCTGCATATTAGATAAAACTGCATACTTCACGTTACTGTTCTTCAAAAGTAACTTTTTTAGACATCCATGGATTATCCAAGAGAGCAAACATAGCATTCTTTTGCAATTTACTGCAACATGTAATTATAGAGTGAAGTGCACAACAAATTACCAAATGCTCTAAATGAATTTACTTTAATTACTTGTACATTTAACAATAAAAGTATAATAATTGTTATTGTCACCTTCAGCATCATTTTTTGCATCTCCAATGGTGGAAAATGCATCCCATGCACTGCACATAAGCACATCATCAGCATCAGAATCGTCTTCAACTGTCACTGAACATGTACAGAAAAGGAAATGTTACACTACATGATTATTTGTGAATACCCCCAAAATATATAATATATATTCATAAATATTACTTATGTTTATGTATGCTATAACAACTGTTTTCATCTCATTTTCATTCCCTGAATTATATATGTTATATAATTAAGAAGCTAAGCATAGCCACTACTTTACATCAACAGGTATTTCATATAGCATGGATATCACTGCCTTTTTTCACTCAGCTACAAAATACGTATTATTGCTTACCTAAATTCAAACTTCTAAATTATTCACAAACCATCAAGCATATTGATTCTGTCCAATGATGCTTCAGGCAGTGCTAAATGGAGGTACTTCTGGTCAAAAAAAAATAATGTCAATAAATGAATTGGTGACCCCTCTCCCACTGCACCTTGTAACTAATCTTAGAACAAACTATTTATTACTGAAGATGATTCCCCTTTTATCTGTTGTTATCAATTGCTTAAAGCAGTAAATTGCCCGTCACTGGCATTGTACAAACCTGTAGTGGTCTGCTAAAGAAGAATATCAGCAGCTTTATTAACATCCCCACTGACCACATCCAGTGCATTTTGTATTTGAGTAGATGGTACATTTGGGAAAAGTGCCTTCAGCTTTGAGAGTGTAGAGACGGCATTGACATAAATGGCAAGAACAAATCACCTTTTTCTCGACAATGAACATTCCAAAAAGAACATTTACCTTCTGGTGGTAGACCTGATATAATATTAAACAATGATGTGAATGTATGGCTACAGTAAATTCTAAATGACAGGTATTGTTAACACTGTCAATGCCATTATTTAGAGGTAGCTGATGTTCCATGTTTATACCACAATATTTTGACAACATCACCATTTCAAAAATAATCAAAATTAGCTATACAAAGTACCTGTCTTGTGATTGGTTGAAGTCTGCACCTCATGATTTCCATTATCCCTGCACGTACATGTAAAAAGTAAATTTACAGTTATAAAGTGCACAGGTCACATGACTTTCTCTTAATCTTGAATCAAGGAGCAGGGCGTATATACAAGATATATTACAATGTGGGGGGGAGGGGTACGAAAACTGCAAAACCGCACAGAAATATGTATAAACACCGCACAGAATAACATAAGAAAACCGCTTAGTTTGGGAAAACTGCAATAACACAATTTAAAATGACAATTTATGTAAAATTGCACCAGCGCAAACCCTTACGCCCCCCTCATCCAGATAATAGCATTTTAGTAAAATTCAACTAGTGGTCTATTATCAGGGCTGCATTCGGATTGGTTGAGCTACTACTAGGCTATATGTTATAGCCGTCTAGAAGTGAAAAGCGCGGGCTTTTTGGCAGCAAAAAAGGATTAAAGTCTAGCTTTAACTAGCTAAAATTTTTTTATTCTCAATATTTTTGATCAACTAGTTGGATTTTACTAAAACAGTTATTCCTCTTACCCTCACAGCGTCTGAGTCAATAGCCCATGCTATTGACTAGGAGCCCATTTGGGCGCAAGGAATAATTGTTAAATATCAAGTACTGAAGAATGCTAGACAAATATCCTCATGAAAAAAAGTCAAACGTTGCTGATAAATTAAATTTCTAGGTCACTACCGTATTTGTGCTTCCTTACTGTATTTATCATTGCTGACATCCATGTAAAATCAGTACACAAAAAATAAAATAATGGGCAAATATTCATACATCAGAGGGTGCATATGCTCTGTTTGATATAAGATTGTTTTGCTTTTAGCTTTCTACTGTATAATAAATTGGGTACCAAAGGATAACCAGAAGAGTCACAACAGCGTAATATTATTCTCATATATGACTATTAAGGATGTTTAGCAATTTATTATTGGATGAGGCTGAATGAAATATGAAGAATGATGCAGATCGAGTAGAGTGTTCTTAGATAACATAATCAATGTAAACAGTAACATGTCTACATACTGATCTGTAGATGTAGATGGTCCACCACTGCCTAATGTTTTGTGCTCCTTAACTTCATTCATTGACAATAACTTTTGGCAGTTAAGGCACTGCACCTTGGGGCAGTCTTGATCCTCTGTCTAAGACATAAATTCACAGGAGATGTTGTCAACTTAGAGTTGTTAACAATGCAATGTGCAACTCTTTTCATACAAATAATATAACTACTGGAAGTAGACTCCGAAACAATAACATTGAGCTTAACGGTGAAAAGGCTCTACTGAAGAGCACCTTTTGGTGAAGTGGGTTCCCTGCTATAATATTGTTATTATTATTGAAAAATGAGACAGAAAAGTGAAGTGTAGTTGATGAGGACCCACATTGACTAAGAGTAAGGAGGGTATATAAGACACCACCAAGACCCAACGGACATACAAGTTTGGCCTATAATTTTTCATGTGAGACTAAAATATCTTGTGTGCATGAAACTTTCATGGTCAGATAAACTGCACAGTGACATTTGAATCTTAAACTTAGAGTATTTCCTACTAGTGATAGAGAGGGGGCTATTAAAATGAGGCAGCACCTTTTGAGGTGGAGAAGGGGGGTGGGATAGGTAAAACAAAGACAACACCAGTCTTTATGTAGAATGGTAAGCCCTGGCCGAGCTGTGCACAGTAGTTTTGACCAATTCCCTTAATTAGTGCCCCAGCTATCCTTTTTCGGACAAAAGATACTTGGATATTGGATGATCTCTTACAGAGACTCTAATCCTGCAATAACAATTGTTGTGAATAAATCATAAATTGAACTATTTTAAGGGTTGATATGAGCCATTTAATGCAAGTTCTTTTTTTGTGGGGACGGGAATTAAACTCGTTTTCTTGTATGTGCAACCTCCATTGCCATGCATGCCTATCCTGAAGATAACAAGAATAGACCTTGTCACGGTTTTCGACGCCATCTTGACGAGTAGGAAAGCGTGTGAGAAATTATAGTCTTTGTATGAGAACCTAATGTCAAATAATTTACGTAAAACGGCTGTTGCGAAAAAAATATGACTTGTAAACTAAAGCTAGAAAACAAAGGATTGTACTCAAACATTTTTGGGGCATAACTGTGCTTAAATTTCTCCAGAGGATTGCTTTAGATTTCCCATACATTTGTCTGTAATTTTTCCCAGGAATTTCTTACAGACAAATGTATAGAAAATTTTAAAAAGTGGTTCTAGGTCTTCTAGCGCATTTAACGCCCTCAATCTTCTTCAGCAGAATCCTTAGGAGTGTAGCTTTAGTTTACAGTTCACATTTTTTTTCAGAACAGCCGTTCTACAGAAATTATTCGGCATCACATTCTCATACAATCACTGTAATTTCTCACGCGTTTGCCTACTCGTCAAGATGGCATCGAAACCCGTGACAAGGTCTATATTAAGCTTATCGTATTTGACCAACCTGTGAGCATGGCGCAGCCTTTCCTTCTGGTAACTCCTCTTGGATGACAATATCTTTCTGTAAAGGCCGCAGAAAGCCTTTGGCTTGACCCAGCACGCTCTTCAAAAATGGTACGGATATTCCACTTGCAGGCGTTGGGATGGAAATGAGGTCCTTTGACCTGCCATCGACAGTTCGAAGGACCTCGTAGCCACCAGCCGTTTGGAGGGCAGGAAACACATCGATTATTACCTCGTGGACTTGAGCTGCATTACCGTTCCATGGAAATTGTAGCTTTTTCTCGCCAAGACCGTTTAGTGTAAGGGTGATTCTTTCGCTTGTGGAAGGAAGCGCATTTTGCTCGCTGAAAGCCAGACAGACGAACGCTCTTGTCCACGTGTTCTTACGATGGAAATATGGCGAGAATGCTGCTGGCTGCCTTCTTCCTCTCCCTCTGCTGTTTCCACTACCCGGCCGGCTCCGCGATGCCCCAGATGACGGCCTATAACCAAAAATTCTTCTGTGCTCCTCCCAGGCAGTACCAGCCGTATTCTGAAGCCCTCCCGCACTTCCTGCAGATCCAGCAGCTGTTAGAGAATTCTGTCGTATTTGCTCGGCAGCTTGCATTAAGCGCTGAGCGCACTCCCTCAGCACATCACCTTCCATGATCTTTATAACGAGAGGAGGCGACTCAGTAGCTGACCACGTGACTTTCTACTTCCGACGGACACGCAACGCGCAAGACGGGTGCCAGGGGAGAGATGAGTTTTGGGGTCTAAGGTCTGAGTTTTCCAGGCCTGACTTTACTAGACACCCCCATCAGACAGTAGTATTTCTCCAATTCAAAAACGATAGTTCATCGGATTCTTCGCTATTAATTCAAAATAAATACGACTCTCGTGTGTTTAAAATGCGATACTAATAATATTTAAAGTAACTTTTATTTCATACTAACCCAAGTAAAATGTCAGCTACTAACAAGCTTTCATACGTCCTGCAGATGTATTTCGCCACGTAAAATGCATGCGTTACTTCATTCGCCATGTAAAATGTATGTTACTTAATTCGCCATGTAAAATGCATGCACTACTTCATTCGCCATGTAAAATGCATGCGTATCTTATTTCGCCATGTAAAATGTATGGGTTATTTTAATTCACCATGTAAAAAATATGCATTACTTTATTCGCCATGTAAAATGTATGGGTTATTTTAATTCGCCATGTAAAATGTATGGGTTTTTTTTTAATTCGCCATGTAAAATATTTGGGTTATTTTAATTCGCCAGGTACAATGTATGGGTTAATTTAATTCGCCATGTAAAATGTATCACTTAATTTTGACCCTAAAAAAAGCGCCATAGATATTTGCCCAAGCAAGGTCCTGTTTCGCACGTACAGGATCGGAACGGTGGAAGAGTCGTAGAGGACTACATCAACTTGATCAGTTACCGTAGCACCTATATCTACCCATTGCGAACCATCCACACTGAGATTTGTTTTCCAATATAACTGCGGTCAAATTTAGTCAGAACATGAGCTGCACTCAAAAGTCGATAGGCTCCTGTGTACTGAGCATTAGCTCCCAGACATCCAAAGAAGTCTAAGTCAGCATTCCTTATCAACGAACCACCTTGGTATGGAGCGGATTTTAGAGGTTTAACTCCTTCGAACCCTCAGGTTTGACGGCCTCAGATACCGTCGCAACAATCTCTCCTTCTTCAACAACTTTGACTGGAATGGCCACCTTCTCATCACTGCCAGTAACAGCGTGCTCAAAGAACTTGGGAATGAAAATATCAGGATGCTTAATACTCTCTTGTGATAATTTCTTAATAACTCCAACTCGGAAGATTTTCCCTCGGCCTTTCTTTCCGCCATCCAACTTTTCATTGCTGAATCCAAGACTCACCACACTGGGAGTGGAGAGAAGATAACGTTTGCTCTTCAGGAAGCTTTTAGCTTCTTCGGGGGATAACACTGCTGCCATTTAAGCTTTAGCCAGCCAGTAGACTTACTCCAAGTAAAGATGTTACCACAAATGAAAGTGAATAACGACTGTCTCTGCCTTTTCATACACGTCATATCCAAACGTCTCGGTGTCATGTCAAACATTAAAAAAAGGTGCCTAAAAACGTGACTAAAAACGTGACTAAAAGCGTGATTCGAATAAATTAGCACATGAGTCATAACATGCCTGGTGTGTTTAGTCACAATATCAGCGCATGACAGGAAGTTGATGATGTCACTGAACGAGTCACCAAGGTAGTGTGGGATAATGAAAATTAGTAACATTCTAGAACTCGGGGTGCTTTCGCTTGAGAAATCTGGATTTAGATCTTAAAATCCAGATCTTCGGATTTCCAATCGAACACAAGATCTAAAAATGATTTTTTTAAAAAAGGTGCAAATTTGAAGGCAACTGTCCCTTGAGCGTAACGCAATATAGCAGGAGAAATTAACAAAATATAACACAACAAGATCCAAAAGCAGGGCCCTTGAATAAGGCGTTTTCTAGCGCGCAAAAGACAAGGTAACAGGATACAAAAATAGGGCCTTTAAAAATAATAACAAAATCCCTAAGGGACCAGTCATAATTTAAAGGGACTGGTTCACGATAATGCGCATGTGTGAGTTCTGACAGTAGCTGATTGTTTTCAACCAATCGGAAGCGAGTTAAATGCACGCAAGTAAATTTACAAAATTCAAATTAATTGTTCGCGACGCTAGCCTGAATTTCATCCGATTACTTCGAGTCGTTATTACTCCCTCAGTTGTTGAGAGGAGAAAACGACTCGAAGCAATCGGATGAATTTCAGGCTATCGCGACGCGAGAGTATTTCCGGGCATTTGGTTTGATTTTATTTATCCCCATAATTCAAGTTTATTCTTTGCTACTCCTCAGATATATGTTGCAGCCGATAAGAATAAAATTTACAGCCCTGTCCTGCTTTGAAACAAACATTTACCAACGTGTATTTTTACGAGGTCGTATCCACGCTAACAAAGCGGTCACCGATCGGCAAACAAAATTTGTAAACAAACATCTTATTACTGTTCTCTCAGTTCGCCTTAT